TTTCTTTGCTTTTTAGTGTATAAAGGTCAACAATGTTTGTTCACCAAAATTTTCCCACTTACATGAGTTTGATGCTTGTATTAACGTATAACATGCAGAAACTAGCTTTGAAATGTGGTGGCCTTATACTTGCGCTGGCCACACACACTTTACATTAATTAACCATTTGGTATTTCTAGGATTTCCTAAGTAAAGTGAGGATGGCCAATTCTTTAGATTTAGTACTTGTCATATACAGGTTTAGAAACAACTGAAGACGGTTTTCTCTATATTTGCCAATAAAATGACCAGGTGATGTGGGCAATAAGTGCACTCAGTGATGTTTGAATATATAAACGGGTTGTTTAGTTCAGTCTAGTTATTCTTTTATTTAGATTCTTAGTTGACATAGATCTTTAAACATCAAGAGTTAAGTGCAGTCGTCTTTTATTTTTATGTATACGTTCATTGATTGAGTTTGTGTTGTCATATTTTATTTGTTGAATAAATAGAGCGTTTTTGTTTCATTGCGCAATTTTTGTCCAATCTCTTTCCTAATTTCGGTCAGATCAACATTCATTTTAACACCGTAATACATTTTCCACTAAACTTCTAATTAGAGATAATACTATTCGCATCTGTAAGAAATCAGTGCACCTAAGAATATCACAAATGTTCTCGTTGCCTTCATTAACTGGACTAGCAGAAATACCCGCCCTCCGGGCAGTTATAGCTGCTAGTTCCTGCGGAAGTATATTGGGCCTCCAGCCTTCTCTGGAATTGTCTGACAGTTCTACAACAATGTACTCATACTTGACATTCAATAATGTTCACAATCCATGAGAAAAGGGATTTTATTGAAATTTTAGTTTAAAAATGAGCTATCATCACAGAGTAGATTTTATTGAAGTATTTCTTTGTTGACGCAGTTATCAATGATAGTGCCTTTCTTTTCTGTTGCAACACTAACTAGATTTTCACTAAAGAAAATCAAATAGTTTTTAAGTTTGTTTTTGATTGTTTTATATTTGATACTTCTTTTTTTTGTAATTTTTATTGGTTAAATCTGAAACATATCATTTTTATGAAAATTTAAATTGTTTTATTTATTGCTCAGCTATAAAAATACTGCCTAGTTATAACTGTTATTGAACACTTAAGAATCACCGCAGTTGCACTTTTTATCATCGCCCATTCAACTGAACTGATTAAAATAGGTTGTGCTACGTTATTTAATTGAATAAGTTGTGTTTAAATAGGATGACAACAGTCACAGTAATTGCACATTATTTTATACATCATTTTTTAACAACTTGCTCAAGATGTAATGTCAGATATCGTAAAACGTATACATTTAACCAAATAATAATTATTTACGTATCTGCTAAAACGGCCATTAAAATATGACTACGTAATGGAAATAAACTTTTATGTTATTAATATATAAAAAAATCTCAGGATACTATTATCAATATATAAAAAATCTCAGGATACTATTATCAGTATATAAAAAAATCTCAGGATACTATTATCAATATATAAAAAATCTCAGGATACTATTATCAGTATATAAAAAATCTCAGGATACTATTATCAGTATACATATATAAAAAATCTCAGGATACTATTATCAGTATGTAAAAAAATCTCAGGAAACTATTATCAGTATATAAAGAATCTCAGGATACTATTATCAGTATATAAAGAATCTCAGGATACTATTATCAGTATGTAAAAAATTTCAGGATATTATGAAAAACCCCATTTACATTAGCTTAATAATCGCATAAAAGTAGGAAGAACTAAAAATTGTCATTACATGTTTGTCAATACTCTGTTAAAGACTGATGATAAGTGACATGTTTGTCCATGTTCTATTAAAGTTTGATTGTTAACCTTGTAATAGTTTTAAAGTCGCACCTGCAATTTCACGGAAAAGTGGTATTGATACAAGAAAAGCCAATCAATTAGCCAAGGTCACTTTATAGTAAATATTTTACCGTCTATTTCATACTATATAACAAACGTAGCTATCAATATAAAAAATAAAAAGGTTGATCGAATTGTATGTCTGGTATTTTTATTAATTAATTGGCATGAGCTGTGAAACCACAAGCATCAATCTTAGCTCATATATATATTTGATTCACGACGAATTACTGACTATCCAACATTGCAATGACATTCTCTACGGTTAAACTTATGGCTAATAATGTTGCATAAAATTTTCTTCAAGCGAAATATCCATAATTTGATATTGTTAAAGACGTAGACCTAAATGACATAACATTTCGACGAAAAGAACTTTCAATGTTCTCTGTAGGAGTGAAAAAAATTCACATGGCAAAGTATTTAGAACAGAAACAGGCTCTGAAACCACACCTTAGACCAATCATGACTAACGCCCTCATTTATAAAGTGAAAGCTATGGACAAAAAAACAACAAAAACGTCCCACTCAAAAAGACATTACCATGAAGATACGCGTAAATCTTGGTACCATAAACAAAATAATAAACTAGTATTTATAGTTGACGAAGGCTCATAAGCTCATAGCCACGTTTCAAAACCAGTGATTATTTTCATAAGAAAAATAACTGAAGAAATAGGAAAAACAGTAAACCTGTTCAACTACATACGTGAAGTCCCTGATATAGCTTTAACAGTCTTTTGTCAAGACTTGTAGTCTAAGAGTGACCTCGCCATCCTTCGGAGGCTTGTTTCAATGTAAATTATCATGTTCGGCAATAACGATTAATCGTTACCACAAAAAAAACAACAGGGTATTCATATATTTCTAAGTCTTTACACAACTGATGCTATTAGAGAATCCATTATTATGAACCTAAAGGAATTCACACAAGCATCTTCCGTGGGAAAGTTCAGAAATACCACATAGGACTAATTCTTGAGAACGTATAATTAATATAAGGATATGATATACGATTTCAAAGCCAGTTATCTGCAAGCTACATATTAATACGAATATCCCATAAATAAGAATATGAATAAGAAATATTTACTTTTGTGGATTAAAGCAGAAAAGAAACAACTGATATTTTTCACGTATCACAGTTTATCTATACTAGACCAAATATCCATTATAGGCGATTATTTATATACGGTTAAGACGTTAAAAGTCTATGATATAATGTACGAAATACTAAGATATGCGTATGGCATATATATATTTTTATATCTATAGCTTTAACATTTCTGAACGAAATAAAAACTCAACCAGTTATGTTACGTAATGATTGTTCCTGTAATGTTTCTTTAGCCACGGTTTGAGGAGCTAAGAAAAAGTGAAACTCTTATAGTCTGATTGAAAATATTAAACAGAAACTTAAAAAAATGATACATTTATTAAATATATTATGATCTCAGACTAAGCCGAACCTTAATATTTCGTTCGCGCCACCAAAAACTGTGTTAAACATTCATGTGCCCCTCTATCCTTGTCTTAAGTTACCAGAAGTTCTCCCAACAGCAATGGCTAAATTTACCAAAGATTTCTAGAAGCACACGTAAAAAAAAAAAGATACTCATTTGTTATATTTTAACATCAAACAAATATTTGATTATAGCATGTTCACCCAATCCAACTTTGAATAAATTCCATCACTTATGTTTCTGTTCTAGAAACAACCCTAGTTTCTAGTCGTTAACAATTATTACCTAAGGCTTCTTGCAATCTGTACTTCATTATCTAAGAAGGAAAATGGGACACTGACAGGCTGGCAAAAAAATACCAGTTTCACTCCACACACTACTTCGTTCTTCTTTTCTTTTTTGTAAATACAGGTGTATAAACTTATGGATACTGAATATTTTACACGTGGTCTTTATATTGGTATAATTGTCTACCTGAACAGCTGAAAGAACTAGTTTTAATGCTTGCTAAAGTTAGGAAATTGAGCGTGACTAGCAGTGTAAGTTATATGTTACCCACACGTCAAAACAGCTGTTATCTGTTTATAGTTAAACTCAAAGCTACACAATTGGCTATCTGTGCTCTGCTCACCACGGGCATCGAAACCCGGTTTCTAGCGTCGTAAATCCTCAGACATACCGCTGTGCTAGCGGGGAGCCGTCTAAACAGACTATATATTCTTACACGTAAAGCATGACGGGATAACCAGCCTTCCATGATATATATTTTATAGTTTACGAATTATGGTATTTTATATGTTCTTTTTCAGTTTCTTTGCCTGGTATCATTATATTCTTGACAATAAGGTCGTATAGATGAAATCAACTTGTTATAGTTTCATTATACTTGGCGATTTTCGAAATTACCCTATATACGCTAGTTACATAATAGTTACATAAATAATGATTTAGTCTGTTAAAGTAAATAAATACAAAAATATATTGACACAACATTTATATAAATAATTTCAACATGCCGACAAAAAGTAGAATATTGCTTTAAAAAAAAAACATCTTCATGTTTTGATGAAACACCTACATCATCTTCAGGAGTTCCTTTATATAGACAGTAAATTTCATCATGTACATTAGCGTCATTTACAAAATATATCTCCACAAATTTACTTCTATGGCTTCTGGACCTAAATCTCTATTCAAAATCATTTTGTTTTTAACAGCTTATAACAATTCTCTTATATCAAATCCGTTTTTAAATTTAAAAACAAAATGATTTTGAATAGAGATTTAGGTCTAGGTGCCACGAAAGTGAATTTACGGAAATCGATTTTGTAAATGGCGTCACTGTACAAGATGTAAATTTTACACGTATATTTACTATCTAGATAAAGGAACTTTATGCCTTCTTGTTTCCTGAAGATACTGTAGCGTGTTCTATCAAAACATGCTGTTTTCAGCGTATATTGTCATGCATTTAACTTTATGTGAATAGATTATTGTGCATCTCGAAAAGTTGGTGTCGTCATTTTGGTTTTATTGTTGAAACTTTGCACAAGAGCTGTCCCACTTAGTATTGTTAAACGTATATAAATCATGCAACTAACTAATATATAAACAAGAAATATGTCAAACCTGAGTCTGTGACGAGCAGATTGAATTAGACCTGTAACACATGTTGCGACTGCCATGCTGAAGATAATTAATCCAAACGTTCTATGAGTCGGTTCCAGTTGGTGACGAAACTTGGTTGTTGTGGCGTCACAAGCCAAAAAGACCAAAAGTACGATAAAACCAACGACAAACTTGAAAAGAATTGAATAATTAAATTAGAACGAAAAATATAGTAGCAAAAATTTATTGTTCTTTATGTACATTATGTCTATCTATAATGAAACATTGTCTAACTAGACTCACGATAGAAATTATAAAATCGAATAAAAAAAAAAGGAAAACAAAGAAATCACACGCTTACTGTTTGTACATTATCAATTCAGCAAACGACCATGCATAGCCTAGTGGCCACGGGATCGAATCCCGACTTAGAACATTCTTGCCCTTTCAGCCGTTGAGGTGTATAATGTGATGGTCAATTTCACTCTTCGTTGGTGGACAGTAACGTATTAGTTTGTGGTGGGTCCTGCCGTTGCCTTCCCTTTAGTCGACAGTTCAAATAGGAACGGCGCCAGAATCCCAGTAATGTTCCCATAAAACAAAACCAAACAACTCAAACTATCACTTAATGATGTTTGTTAAAGTCAAAGCAACACATCTCAGAAGTTTTTTCAGACACAAAGTGGAGACAAAACAGAACGTATTCAATCTTCTCATATTTCGGAATTTCCATATTGTATTTAAGATTTGTGGTAAGATACACCACGAAAATGTATTATACAGAACAAGCAAGTCTTAAGCTTTATGGGTAAGAGAAGAAACGAGACCAAGTTATTAGGTCCTCAAGAAATTAATGACGCGTTTTGGAACACTTTCATTAACCACCCTCTAAAATACGTACATCAAGAATAATAACTGAACGAACCACCTAAACGTTACGTTAGTGTAGCCTATATTATTGTGTAAAGTTTTGTATACTCTAATCCCTTATAGTGATGGCACACGACGAGACACAGATTCGGTATGTAATGCTGTTTGAATTCAACAAGGGAAACAACGCCTCTGTAGCTACAAAGAATAGCAAATATTATTTGCTTGTTTGTTATGAATTTCGCGCGAAGCGACACGAGGGATATCTGCGCTAGCCGTTCCTAATTTAGTAAGACAAGAGGAAGGGCAGCTAGTCATCACCACCCACCGCAAACTCTTAACAACGAATAGTTGGATTGACCGTCACATTATAACGCCCCTACAGCTGAAAGGGCGAGTATGTTTGGTATGACGGGGATTCGAACCCGCGACTCACAGATTGCGAGTCGAGCACTCTACCCACCTGGCCATGCCGGGCCGCATATCAAAGAAGTTTATGGAAGTGTTTTGAACGTTCATAAGTATTAACGATGGTTCAGCAAATTTCGTTCAGGTGACTTTAGCCTTAAAAACCGTGATGGCAGGGGCCGACATGTTTGAATTGATATTGATGCTCTGAAAACGCTTGTTGAGTCTAACCCAAGGCAACATACACTCGTAAAATGGCTCTGAAATTGCATGTCTCTCATGAAACAATACATAAACATCTGAGGAATATGTGAAAACTCCATAAAGAAGGTGTTTGGGTGCCTCACGAACTCTCCGGTGATCATCGTTTCCAACGTGTGAACGTTACTTAGTCTCTTCTGGTGTTAACAAGGTACGAATTACGGAACAATGTATCCATAGTCCACTATGCTAACCACTAGGACGAGCTCTACAGCGTATAAGAGGTGAAAACAGCAGCCACGTTACTGCAATTTATACTTCAGGTCTGGAACCAAATGTGTTTTGCAGCTTTTCTTAATTTCAGATACGTCACTGATTACGGAATGAGACGGTCGAGTTAATCCTACTGTGCCGCAGAGAAAATTGGTCCCAGCGGAAAGTTGATGCAAAATTTAACGCACGCTATCCAGGGAGAGAGAAAAACATCATTCGCAGTTCTGCTGGGAAGTTGCTGGCTAAATCTAAGGAACCTGGTAATGTGGACCATTGACAATGACACGAATATGTTTCTCAGCGTTCAAAAATAATGGAAATATCGTCTTCCAAACTTGTTTCGAATTACAAGGACAACATGTGGAACACATCCTGTAAAATTCATTGAAGTGTTTATGGTTCCAGATTTTTCGGACATCCTGTAGTTTCTAATTTCTAACCTCAGGATCATCAGATCAAAGAAAGATGATTTTTATTGAGTTCAAGTAAACATCCAGTCTTGATCAGTAATCTCAGTTCTTTATAGCTCTTCAATATTAGATATGTAAAATTTGCCGAAATACTGTATCTTAGTCCCATCCCCTTTTTTAAAAGTAATTTATGTGACTTGATTTATTGTACTATTTGCTTGTCTTACGTAATATATCATAAATTCTTGAAGTGTGATGTTACGGATCGCTGTTGGTGGGTTTTGTAAATTCCGAGACGTTCCAAAATACCTGCTTAAAGCAACACATAAGCTGCATATTTTACCACACAGGTTTAACTTGCACATCACAGGAATTTGTGCACAATTGAGGAAGAATGCTACCATCACAATTACTAGTTGTTCGGAACCTTATGTACATTATTATTGTTTTATACAAATAAATATGAAACCTAATCTATTTTTCGAATCATCACTTGCCGTAGAGAAGTATATTTCTTGTTAGTCTCTTTCAGTTATTAGTAATTCCAAATATTCATGTGTATTTCTTGAGATATTCTTATAACAGTATAATCCGCATCTTTGTATAATTTGTAAACGTGAAGGTTTTCAGTTAGACAGTAACTCTAATGAAGAAAAAACAAAGACACTCGACCATTTTCCGCATCTGAATAATTAATAAAAGTGTTATTACTTTCAAATGCAAATATTTATACACCCTATTCAAAGTTATTAATTCATTCATTACTTAGATCATGTTGTAAGGGGCATAACTTGACAACATTTTTTTCTCTTTAAATGATATTTTTATGTTTTATTTTTCCATATTCTAAAATTATAAAAATGGGAAACCCCGTTTTATAGAATGCTTGCAATTTTGCTTCTAAACTTTTTTCACAGCAAAACTTGAAAGTTACAGTTCAACAGCAAATTTGCTTAGAAATAATTTTGAATTTATAACTGAAGCAATGCTTACCTGAAAAGAAAATAGACCTAAAGTACCCAGTCCAATCCAAGAATGAAGACTGTAAAAATGTTTAGGATCTGAACTGTTGTTATGGGCCCGAATGGCTGACATCAGACCAATAGTGATGGCTGAGATTTCCAATACGAAGAAGATAGTATGTATCACCTTGTTATACATTTTCTTCCAACAGAAGAAGTTTCTATACACCAGAATTGCTTAAAAAAGATAAAAAAATTCTACAGTTACTATATCTAAATAGACACTTTGAAAAATGTTACAAAAATACCAATTTGAAAAACAACAACAAATAAATAAAACTATTTATTACAGTAAGCAATCATGTTTGGTCATTCAGTTGTCTCTAATACAACCCTTGAAGTCTGATAATAGTGTACATTGTGCTAGTTTTCACATAGAATCGTTGTATACAAATATACCGTTAAAACGGGCCATAAAGCTGAGAGCTGGTTTGATTTACAATGACAGTTCCGAAGAAGTGAATATTCTGAAATCAGTGTTTTGGAAATTAATTAATTTTGCTACTAAGGGGTATTATTTTGAATAGAAAGCTTTATAATTAGGTCGCCCCCAGTGGTACAACGGTGAGTCTGAGGACTTATAACGCTAGAAATCAGGTTTCAACACCCGTGGTGGGCACAGCACAGTTAGCCCATTGTGCAGTTCTGTGCTTACTCACATAAAAAAATGTTTGCAAATTGTACGCAACAATTTAAACCGCTCCGTTATAGTAGGTGTGTTGATAATATTATCATCGACATCATGAATTCGGATCAAGCTTCTTAATTCCTACAGTATTTGAACAATAGACGTAGTAGCATGAAGTGTATTGTAGTACATCAGCTGGATCATAAACTTTCATTTCTGGACACTTTAACCAGTAATAACAATTGACACTTCAAATGTGAAGTAAGTATATCATAAAAATAAAACGTTCACAGGCTTGTAGTTTTATGTTGCAAGTTTTATTCCACGAAAATTTAGTGAAAATACTACTTCACCGTGCTTTTGAGATGCTGTGGCACAGCGGCATGTCTGCGGGCTTACAACACTAGAAACCGGGTTTCGATACCCGTAGTAGGCAGAGCACAGATGGCCTATTGTATAGCTTTATGCTTAACTTCAAATAAACAAACAAAAGCTTTTGAGTTATTTATTACGTATAAAGATTAAAATGATTTTCCATGTTATTTCATTGATAGAATACTTTGTAGTTGTTTTTAAGTTATATATATTCTTTGCAGAGGCGTCGTTAGGCGCTGGCACACGAGGCCCATGCCCCGAATTCCCAGTTGATGTCTTGAAAAATTAGAATAAAAAACCATGATCGATATCATACTGAAACGCCGAAAATTCCCGCGCCCCGAATCTTTTAACCATCTACGATGCTTTTGATTCTTTGATTATTACGAATCAGCTAATCACCGACAGATACAACTAAGGTGCGCGTTTAAACCTAATTGTCGCCTTAGATTTTTCTCTGAATTCAAGGATCAGACTTCAGTTTTGCAATTATCTTTTGCAGTTTATAAATTTAATTGTCCTCGTCGTGAGCAAGATTACATTTGTTCTACCAAAAGAAAATTATTAACACGTGTGAAAAAACATACTAAACTAAAAATGGCTGGAGACGGCTTGAATGGGTAATGAAAAAAAACTTTAATATAAGTTTAACATAACATCAAATGTACAACGTTTCGACAAGGTTTTGTCATCATCATCAATTTGTGAAGGTCAAGTTATCGAAAAACTTAAACCAATTTTCAGGTATTATCCAAAACACGCAGAAAAAAACTCCTAAAAGCAACCCTGAATTCCAAATATCAAGAACTGGACTACTTACAAAAACTCAAACAGAAATTAGACCACAAACTAGCCTGCTACCTCAAACCAGATGATTACGGCAATATACAACGCGCTATCAACCAAAACAACTCATTGTTGAATCAATAAAAGAAGTCCATACACAACAAGAAACTAGATCAACTAAGGAAACTACAACAACGTTAAGTGAAACACAACAACGCAGCTCAGCCTAACCTAGTAATCAACAGATCTGACCGGACACTCAACGACACAGAACTTCAACTTCTAAACAAAGGCCTCAACTTTGCCATCAACCACAAAACAACTCCATGCCTAGAGTGCAAGGCGTGTCTAGAAGATCTAGCCAGAAGACTAGTGATCCGCTACATAAAAGAACAAAAGACCACCTCTACCGCAAACATCCTCCAACTACAGAAAGAAGAAATCCATGACATCAACCAACAGACTTTTATCACAGGTAACTACAACAAAGTGTGAATATTGGTACCTGATGATGACAAAACCTTGTCGAAACGTTGTACATTTGATGTTGTGTTAAACTTATATCAAAGTTTTCTTCATTACCCATTCAAACCGTCTCCAGCCATTATTAGTCTCAAAGTGGGTTCTTCGTCATCAAAAGAAGTCACATGACCGGAACTGTTGCGAAACTTAGAAGAGGTATCTTGGCACCCCGGGGTGTTGGTTTAGAGTAGGGTTGTTTTGTTCAATTAAGATGGATTCCTTGATTTTGCGTTTTTTTGCGTTTTTAAGATAATTCTAGCCAAGTGTTAACCATTTAGAGTTACATAACTGTCAGCAGCTATAAACTGTTAAATGAAGAAACAGTGAGAATTAAGAATTAAATCAATTCTGCATTGTCTTAACTGAATGTATAAAAAGGCAATCATCCTTAATATTTAGCAATTTTTTACCCCCACCCCCCAGTAAAACCTATCAGTCATTGTTTTATATTACACATAATAAAATTTAGGGTTAGTCGTGAAAAAAGGCAACAAATCTTTCTGCCCATAAAATAAATGTAAGCAATAGATATGTGTTAAAAGCAGGTTTTAGAATATTTCTCTTTATGTTTACGGATATAGTTCATAAGGGTAAGCATTCATTCTTTGTAAAGAAGTCTTCATGTCACTGCTACATCAAAAAGTATGGAATCCACCATTAGTGGAAAACTAGAGAAAAAAAAAGAATACGAGCAGGAAAGACGTAAGTACATCTAATCAAAAGACTCAAGTCTGCATTTGAAGAGGAAAACGTAATTTAAGTGATTAGAGCAAAGGATGATATACATACAAGGATTTGAGTCTTTTGCCACACTGCTATTGAACTTCAATCAGCTAATTGATGTCCCTTCCCCCCCCGCCTTCGTGTAGCTCAGTGGTAAACAGTAAGGCCTTGTAACACTAACAAACTGAGGTTCAAAACTCATGGAGGGCACAGTGCAGATAGTTTATTGTATAGCTTTGGGTTTAAACACACAAATAGGTAATTTGTATTGATCACAAGTTTGTTCTGTTTATTCGTGGAGGTTTTCATGTTGAAATCATTAAAATTTGCTTGACCTCTGTTTATGTTGGCATTCTGAATGAAATTAAGCGAAATCTGCCTGAATACTTTTTCTTCTTCCTCTATCTTTGGCTGCCTAAATACTTTTGCTTCTTCCTCTGTCTTTGGCTGCCTGAATACTTTTTCTTCTTCCTCTGTCTTTGGCTGCCTGAATACTTTTTCTTCTTCCTCTGTCTTTGGCTGCCTGAATACTTTTTCTTCTTCCTCTGTCTTTGGTTATATGATTTATTATAAGTCTGAAACGCTTTGGAAAACAACTGGAAAAATATTCTGCTGGATTTCTTTTATATGTTTCTTTGTAGTTAAGCACGAAACCACACAATGGACTATCTGCGCTATCCACCTCCACGGGTATCGAAACCCGGTTTCTAGGGTTGCAAGTCCGCAGACATACCGATGTGCCACTGTGGGGGCAGGATTTCTTAGTGGATATTATTTTAACTTGAAACAAACAGATGAATCGTAAAATTTATTTAATAAATTTCTGTGTTACGTTTTTAAATTACACATTATAATACTAATATATGTGAAATGATTGCCTTTTGGAGGGTGAAGTATTGATAGAGGAAATACATTGTAGAACGTTTTACAATCACACTTTTCAAACGAATTTGTATTCTGTTTACTCTTACTCTTAAAATATTGAATTCTCATTTATTTAGCAATATTAAGTGTTACTGTTGATAGCTCACCCAATCACTTCTTCTGTTCTCAGAGTATGTTTACTCTGATCTTGATACGATCGTGTTACACGTCTTCATTACAGTGACTGTAAAACAGTTATTACTGGTAATTTGAGCTCCACCCATACCGATTTTATACATATTAAATTGCTTTAGTAATATCCGGCAATAATGTCTGCTTAAATACATTTTTTTCTGAAACGCTTTATATCCTGTATCTGGCTATTGTTACGCCTCAGTTATTAACTCATTTCTCCATAATTCACTGTTCATGAGATCACCGAGGAACGTAATTCCGATCCCTTTAATTTATTTACTGGTTGTAAATTGAAAATCCTCTTAAACTAACGATGATAATATGTTACCTTCGTTACGGAATGTTATTAATTCTCCGGACATACATTTCCACAATACCACGACTGCATAGCTGCTATTTAAAATATTTTAAACTGTTCGGTTTCTCCCGAATTTTTAATCGTTATTAAAACAGTTGAAATCCTTCCAATGACGCTTATAATTATATTAAAGAAATATTTTATCTTCGTTGTTTTTTTTATTTCTGCACGAATTCATTTTCTAAAACCAGAATTTAATAAAACTAATACTTGTATTCGTAAATTTATTTTTTAAAGTAGAAATCAAATTGGCCTTTTTTTTTTCATTATTGATAACAACAGCGGAAAAGAGGAATTTTTTTGAGGAAATTCAAACTTTTAATAAACTAATATTTTTTTAACAACAATATCATTTTAAGAATCGTCGTAGTAGGTAATGACGAAGTGATAGTGATACTCATTTCAGTAATTTTCTCACTGCTTCTAATAATGATACCAGAGGCGTCGTTAGGAGCTGGCACACGGGGGCTCGTGACAAAGGTACTATTTTATAGTACCCCGAATCCCCAGTTGTTTTCTTAAAAAAACAGAATAGAAAGCCCTGATCGAAACGCCAAAAATTCCCGCGCCTAATCTTTTAAGTACCAGCGACCCCTCTGAATAATACCTTACATGAGAATAATGATTTTAAAAAGTTAATCAACACATTTAGTATCCCAGTTTTTCTATTTCTTTCAACATTACTGATCGTCTTGTATTTAATAGTTTTGATTTAGATAATGAATC